GAACCGGAAGCACCGCTGCAGCCCGCCGAAGACGTCGACAGACCACCCCCTCCCTGGCCCTCCTCGTTCTCCGCACGATCCACCTGCAACATATTTACGTTTTTAATGTAGTAAATTAGTATACCATAGTAATTAGTAAATTAGTATCAGTACTAGTATAATAATATATTATTAATAATTAATTTTATTAAATATCTAATATAATATAATAGTTATTATAGTGTATTTAAGTATTATAGAAATATATTAGTAGTAGAAATATTAGCCTATGATTAATTTATATTATTAGTATCGTAATATATTTTAGTGTTAGCATAAATAATGCTAATATATTACAGAAAAAACAAGAAAAAATGTAGAACAATAATATGTGGATTTGAACGGAGGATCTTTAGATTTAAAGTCTAGGAACTTACGCATTACGCCATGATGTTTTTCAGTTACATGTTATTATTTGTTCCAATTAATTGTCCAATATTATAATAATATATTAGTATAGAGTATTATATAGTTTTTATTAATATAGATATATTTCTCAAATGTTGCATGATTCTTTTACTAATTATTATCATTACTATTATTATCTTTTATTTCAATAATTTTCGCAATATATTATAATTATATTTTCGCAAATTTAATTAAACGTATTTTCTATATATCGACAGGTTTACCGTAACCACTAAGCTGACCAATTTGTCACCATGAGCAACCATCCATATCACTATAACTTGAACTCAATTCGTGTATAATAAACTAGATGCATTGTTGCATGATTAACAGGTTGAAATTCATCAATATAATATAAATATATTTTAAATATTAAATATTGTGCAAAAGATACAACATGGAATAAAATCAAATATTTTTATAATAATTTTAAATTCTCGAAAACCAAAAATTAAATTAAATTATTATATTCCTCATCTGCCTCTGACTGTCTTTTTCTACTGTTCCAGTCAATGATTGATCCACGCTACTTCTTCGACCAATAATTTCTTAATCAGTGCTCGATCTATCCTTTTTCACTTGTTCCACCATTATTATTAAAAACACAATGATGCACTATTTTTGCAAATGTGTTTTTTTGAATAAAACGTAATTCTTTCGTTTCTTCATCCCCTTTACTTTTAATAAACGAATTATCCCTAACAGATTCTTATAATGGTCCGGATCTAATAGAAACAGGACACTGGTTCAAGTTATAATGCGTTCAATTAATAATCCTTCCTCGAAATTAGGTCGATGGGTTAAACCAATCTAATTGTTCTCGCCAACTATCGAGGAAAACTCACTTTTCCCGTGAAACCACGTGACCACCCCTCCCCAAGAATTTGTTATCGATAACACTGGATAAAAGTGGCCATCTCAATCGGGCTATTTATACTCCGGAAAATTTTTTCGAATTATTCCATTAAAAAAAAAAAAAAATGTTTATTCGCCAATAAAATTCATACTTTTGAATATGAATATTCGAGAAAAGAAAAATTTGAAAGGATTAAATTTTGTCATTCAGTTTCAATATTGACGAAGATAAAGGAGGTCGTTGACGTATTGCAAAAATAATTATGGTAATTTTGCACGTAAAATTAATTGACTGCAAATTCTATCGAACGACTTATTAAGAGATGCTTAATCAACGAAACGAATTAATTTTCGCGCCATAGTCGATTAGCTTCCATCCAATTCAAGATATGAAAAATTAATTAATTTGACCTGATTAAACCGTGCAATCACGTAACATCGCGAGCACGCGTTTATATTTAAAATATCGATTTCTTTTTCCTTTCGAGAAAAAAAGTGACACTTGACAACTTTTTTGCAGTCAAGAATTCGTATTATTAATTTTAATCTTATCATATGTCGAGGTAATTATTATAATATATATAATTATTATAATATATAACTCGAGATAATATCATTGATATACAGAAACAGATTGTGAACGAAACGAAGATATTTTTTCTTTCAATTTTTAATTTCATTTTTTTTTTAAAATATATTGATTAATTAGTATTGGAAGTAGATACGATACTTTAAACAAAGTGATATAAATATGAGAGCGATTGAAAACTTTCAAAATCCAATCTTTTTGAAATATTTTTCCAAAAAGTATATTTAAATCGATATTGAAAGACAATAAATCGTGGAGTAACAGTAAATCGACAAAAAAAATAGAATCGAAAGGAGATAAATCAAAAAGGGAGGAGCAACATCACAATATAATATAAATCAACAAAAAAAACGATAAATCGAATAGAATTCTTATATAGTTACTATCCATAGTTGCCTTTCACTTATAAATTTCCAAGTTTAAAAAAGAAAAAGGCATCAAAACGATATTTCAAAATACCTTGAAAATTAATCATCCCCCTTTCACTCACTCTTCATTCAACAACACTCAAGATAACATGTGTAACATGTATAATTCTTTACACATAGAGATAAAAGAAGACAGAGAAGATTCACTTTCCTGTCTGTTAAGAAAAGAGGATTAAAAGAGAATTGAAGCAAAGAGAGGCACGAGAACAAGGCCAAAGCGTGATGGTCCATCCACTTACTCGAGAACCGTGGAAATTGCACGATAAGAATAACCGATGCCATTCGTGCGAATTCCACGATTCGCAAGGGATCTCGAACGACCGTCGAAATGGGCCACCGTGGCGGTGGCCCTTGGATTCGAGAATCCGGCTTTACACCCACTTCCTCACACCGCTTCGAGTGCCTGCACCTTACTCATCCTGAATATGGATGCACAGTTTTGTATCGCAAAAATGCATCTTCAAGTTTGTGGAAACAAGTCTGTTTTTCTTTTTTATAAAATTTCATTATCAAATGTTCATCTATTTGTCAC